GGCTTGAACCCATGTCCCCTGCATTGGCAGGCGGCTTCTTAACCACTGTGCCACCAGGGAAGTCCCTAAACACCTGTTTTTAATTTTCCTGAGTATATACCTAGGAATGGAATTGCTGGGTAATATGGTATTACATGTTTAACTTATTGAAGAACCACCAGACTATTTTCCACAAGAATTGCACCACTTCACATTCTCACCAACAATGTACAAAGTGAGGGATTCAAGTTTTCCACAATCTCTCCAACACTTTTCGCTTCTTACTATATCCATTCTAATGAATTGTGAAGTGGTATCTCGTGGTTTTGATTCACATGTCCCTGATAACTAACGATGCTGAGCATCTTTTCATGTATTTTTTGGCCCTTGTGTATATCTTCTTTGGTGAAATGTCAATTCAAGTCTTTTGCCCATTCTATTTGGGTCATTTGTCTTTTTCTTTAAAATTTATTTATTTTATTTATTTATTTTTGGCTGCATTGGGTCTTTGTTGCTGTGCGTGGGCTTTCTCTAGTTGCAGCGAGCAGGGGCTACTCTTCATCGCAGTGCGCAGGCTTCTCACTGCGGTGGCTTCTCATGTTGCGGAGCACAGGCTCTAGGCATGCGGGCTTCAGTAGTTGTGGCTCACGGGCTCTAGAGCGTAGGCTCAGCAGTTGTGGTGCACGGGCTTAGTTGCTCCATGACATGTGGGATCTTCCCAGACCAGGGCTTGAACCCATGTCTCCTGCATTGGCAGGCAGATTGTTAACCACTGCGCCATCAGGGAAGCCCTAGCTGTGCTTTTAAAGAACATTTGTTGGGACTTCCCTGGTGGTCCAGTGTCTAAGACTCCATGCTCCCAGTGCAGGGGGCCCGGGTTTGATCCCTGGTCAGGGAACTAGATCCCACATGCTGCAACTAAGAGGCACATGCTGCAACTAAAAGAGCCCATGTGCTGCAACTAAGGATCCTGGGTGCCGCAACTAAGACCCAGTGCAGCCAAATAAATAAATATTAAAGAAAGAAAAAGAACATTTGTTATATTTAACACAGCATTTCGAGATGTTTTGTAGTGGGTGGATTTTCAGGTTATCTAGTAAAAAGAAGAGTTGGAAATGGAAATCCTTCAGTGGCTTTTCTGCTATGTCATGCTAATTCTGCCTCTTCTGCCACTTCTTTCTTGGGAACATCTTCCTCTCCTGGGGCAGTAGAGGGAGTGGTGGGGTGTGAGGGGTGTGCATGGGGTGGGGGAGGTTGGGGACAAAAGGTTTCCCAGACTCTTAGGGCAGGTGCCATGACATGAGAAGCAGCAGTGTGGGCTTCCTCACTGAGATGTGTCTTAGGCTGCCTGTCACAGAGCCTGGGGTCCCAGCATGAGAGTCCCCATCCTCCTCTGTTTTATTGGCTACCTCTTTTAGCAAGAATTAGTTTAGCAGTTGATTGAGAATTAGGCTCCAGGGAATTAGAGGTTGGGAAGAAAGATTGGTGTGTGTGGTGTGTGTTTGTGGTGTATGTGTATGTGATGTGTGGTGTGTGTATGGTATGTGTGTGTGTTGTGTATATGGTGTGTGGTGTGTATGTGGTGTGTGCGTATGTTGTGTGTGTGTATGTGATGTGTGGTGTGTGTATGGTGTGTGTGTGGTTCATGTGGTGGTGGTGTGTTTGTGTGTGTATTGTGTGTGTTGTGTGTGGTGTGTATGTGGTATGTGTATGGTGTGTGTGTGGTGTTTGTGGTGGTGTATGTGTGTGTGTATGGTGTGTATGTGGTGTGTGTGTATGTGATGTGTGGTGTGTGTATGGTGTGTGTGGTGTTTGTGTCAGTGTATGTGTGTGTGTTGTGTGTATGGTGTGTGGTGTGTATGTGTGTGGTGTGTGTGGTGGTGTATGTGTGTGTTGTGTTTATGTGTGTGTTGTGTATATAGTGTGTGTGTGTTGTATGTATGTGTGTGTTGTGTACATAGTGTGTGTTGTGTGTGTGGTGTGTGTATGTTGTGTACATAGTGTGTGTTGTGTGTATGTTGTGTATATAGTGTGTGTTTGTGTGTTGTGTATATAGTGTGTTTGTGGTGGTGTATGTGTGCGTGTTGTGTATATAGTGTGTGTTGTGTGTGTGGTGTGTGTATGTGTGTGTTGTGTATATGGTGTGTGGTGTGTGTGTGTGGTGCATGTGGTGTGTGTGTATATGATGTGTGTTGTGTGTATGGTGTGTGGTATGTATGTGGTGTGTGTGTATGGTGTGTGTGTGGTGTTTGTGGTGGTGTATGTGTGTGTGTTGTGTATATAGTGTGTGTTGTGTATATAGTGTGTGTTGTATGTGTGTGTTGTGTATATAGTGTGTTTGTGGTGGTGTATGTGTGTGTGTTGTGTATATGGTGTGTGGTGTGTGTGTGTGGTGCATGTGGTGTGTGTGTATATGATGTGTGTTGTGTGTATGGTGTGTGGTGTGTATGTGGTGTGTGTGTATGGTGTGTGTGTGGTGTTTGTGGTGGTGTATGTGTGTGTTGTGTATATAGTGTGTGTTGTGTGTTGTGTGTGTGTTGTGTATATGGTGTGTGGTGTGTGTGGGGGGTGCATGTGGTGTGTGTGTATTGTGTATATGATGTGTGTTGTGTGTATGGTGTGTGGCGTGTATGTGGTGTGTGTGTATGGTGTGGTGTTTGTGGTGGTGTATGTGTGTGTGTTGTGTATATGGTGTGTGGTGTGTGTGTGTGGTGCATGTGGTGTGTGTGTATATGATGTGTGTTGTGTGTATGGTGTGTGGTGTGTATGTGGTGTGTGTGTATGGTGTGTGTGTGGTGTTTGTGGTGGTGTATGTGTGTGTTGTGTATATAGTGTGTGTTGTGTGTTGTGTGTGTGTTGTGTATATGGTGTGTGGTGTGTGTGGGGGGTGCATGTGGTGTGTGTGTATTGTGTATATGATGTGTGTTGTGTGTATGGTGTGTGGCGTGTATGTGGTGTGTGTGTATGGTGTGTGTGTGGTGTTTGTGGTGGTGTAGGTGTGTGTGTTGTGTATATGGTGTGTGGTGTGTGCGCGTGTGTGTGTGTGTATGTAAGGTCAGGGAGGAGTCAGGGCAGCAGAGGTGGTTGGAAGTGTCTTCGGGAAGAGTTCCAGCATCTGATGGTCCAGCCATCATTTCAGAAAGGCCTGGAATAGTGACCAGGCCCCTCATCTTTAACTTGTCCATTCTCTGGCCAGGACCCACACTGACAGTTCCCATCAGGGCTGGAACTGGATCACTCACACCTAGTGGGACAGGATGCATCAGCTCTCTCCTTCCTCTAAACGTGGCTGCTAAATTGGCTCAGGTTGAGGTGTTTTTCCAAACTTCCCTGGAGTCTGGCCCTGGAAACCGGATCCAAAAGTTCAGTTGCTCCAGTCTGGATTCTTCCCTGGCCTGCACCGGCCTGCCCCGGACAGCCAGCCTTCCTGGTCCTGCCGTCTGTGGGGCACTGTCTGAGGGGGGACCCGCGCCTGTGTAGGGGCGCCAGGAGGGCCAGGCAGCTCCTTAGGGCAGCTGCTAGGAAGCCTCCCACCAAAGCGTTCAAAGCCTTATCGCCTTGGAGGTGTTTCTAATACCATTTCCGTTCATTGTTTCCTCTCGGTCATTAGGAGGAGGCCTGTCCCCTGTGGTGGCAGCTCACAGCTATTGTGGTGGGAAAGCGGGGACTGACTGGACGTCACAGCTTGGGCTTTATCTCCCCTCGGCCCAGGGTGTCCACAGCACGGGGGTCACTCACCAGCAAGACAGTCCCAAGCCACAGAAGGTCCTGGAGAGCATGGCCTAGGTCTGGTGGCACCACTGCGGAGGCTGAGTTTCCCGAAGGACCTTGGGGTCACCTGCAGTCCCCATTTGCAGGGGAAGGTATGGTCTTTGGGGAAGAGGGCTGGCTCATAGTGGGAGGAAGATGCAGGACTGATCCTCACCGCTGGGGAGCTGGGGTTCTCCATCCCTGGACTAGCTTGGAGGGTGATTCACAGCCAGGGACCCTCTAATGCTACCTCCTCCACTTGCCTCTGGAGGTCCTGTGGCTGCTTACGCTACTGCCTGGGCTTTACTACTTGTAATACTTGACCAGATGGGACAGGAATGAGCTCTGCCCTCACCTCCGGGTACCTTCTGGAAGCAGCCTGATATACCTGTGTGTTGGGCACCTGCTCCAAGACCAAGCCTTGGCCACATATCAGACAACACTATCAGTGTTCCTTCCACAGATACATCGTGAATGGGGTTTACCTCTCCCTTGTTTGGCTGGATGGGGCAGTGGGTGGTAAAGGTGCTCCCCACCCCCAGGGAATCTCAGGTGACAGACTCTGCACTTAATTTTGCAGCTTTTCCAGAGGAGGGAGCTGTGGCCGGGGCCCTAAGGGACTCGGAGTATGCTGTGCCAGCCAGGGTCAGTTGTCCTTTTCAAGGTTCAGGGAACCTTGCCCACCACCCAGGGCTGCTGGACTCCTGTATATTTATCAGATCAACTCAGCAAATGTTGCCTGAACACCTCCTGGGTGCAGGGCACTGTGCTGGGTGCTGGGATGGGGATGAGAGGGAAGTTGGTGTACCTTGTGGGTGATTGCCCAGAAAGCCTGGTTCCTGAGTGTTCTCAAAGCCTGGTGCCCGTGGTAGGAGCAGAAGCAAGATAGTTCCTACTCCCCAGTTTGCTGCCCAGCGTGAAAGGATGAAGAGGAGGAGGGAATGAGGTGCCCCCAGCTCTGAGCGGCCGCGGGAGCTCAGGGGATGACACCTGGGGGCGTGTGGAGGCCAAGGCAGGGCTTTCCTCTCTGTGTGCAGCAGGGACCACTGTTTGGGGAAGGATGCCCGGGGTCCTGGATCACAGTGATCGTTACTCTTGGGCCTGGCCACAGGCTTTTTGGGGGACCAGCAGTCCATGTTTAAGAGGCAAATGAGAGTGATTCTCTTCTCTTGCTTGAAAAAAACTCTCCCTGCTTCATGCATGGCCAGGAGCACATAGCAGCCACCTGTGTGGCCAGTGACCGCGAGCTCAACTCTCCTGCTTCTCCTCAGATGATCCCGGCCAGGCTCACGAGGTTGCTGCTTGCTCTGGCCCTCACCTTGCCAGGTAGGTGCAAAGGTACCGCCACTCTTCACTCCTGCCTCAGGGCCATTGGGAACCACCCCCTGCCAGGGATCTGCAGGTGTGTCTGGAGCCCACCTGTGTGCCCAGCCCCACGTTCGGTTCATGCTGGGGCTGCCGGAGTCACTGGTTCCCTGGTTAATTCCTCTTATGAAGGTTCTGCAGAGCCCACTGCCCTGGACTTGTGTTTCTCAAGGACCAGGTGCCTGTAAATGTCTTCTGCAATTGGGGAACAAAGAAGCACCAGGGCCACACAGAACCGTCCTGTATGCTGGGGTTGGAGGATGGGGAAGAAGGAATCCAAGACTTGGGGAGATTATTAGCTTTAGAATGGATTGTGGAGCTCATCTAGTTGTACAGGTGTACCTCTGATGGTGCCGATGCAGAGACTGAGGGTCAGAGAGGAAAAATGCCTGCTCCAAAGTCACACAGAACCCAAATCAGAGGCCAGCTCTCCTTCACTGTACAGCGCTGCCCTCCTTCCCGCACTGAGATGCCGAATCTGTGAAAGGCAAGGGGGACCCTTTTCTGATCCCAGTCTCCATTTAGATGACTAGGCCCTCAGCATCCAGCCTACTGCTCACAGGTTAGTCTGGGGCAAAATGTACATTCGTCATACCCTCTGCGTCTTCCTACTAGGTGTGTTCTGTGCCAGGGGATCCAGAAAACTTAGAGATTGACAGCTGCGGTTTCCACCTGCCAACACACACACACACACACACACACACACACACACACACACACACACACACACACACACACACACACAAAGCG